GGGGGGGGTGAGGTTATATTTGTTCAGGTTCATTTGGAGTTATTTAAATGCAATTCATAACTGATGAACAATAACTTTATATTTAGTGAACAACTTGTTAAATGATCTAACCCTGGTAGATTAGTGAGTACATTAATGAACAAATGAGAAAACATATTAGTACCTCCAATACTGTTACTGCTATGGTTGTTTTAACTTGCTGATCTTAGATAAGAAGCTGTGAGGAGCTTCAGATCTAAAAGCCTATCACAGTTCACACTATCTAATCACCACTGCATTAACTGAAGCAAGCATGAAGATGAGTTTGAAAAAGCTCTGCAGTCCTCCTGGCAACAAACCAGTTCAATGGGTACAAATCAACCAGTGTCTTTCACAGAGAACCTTATTCAGTAAAGTTAGAAAAACGTTTTAAATATCGATCTTATCACCAACGTGGTTTTGCAAAAACATCAACATTAAGTAATTACAGAATTGCACACTCGCTCTCACTAATGTTCTGTCTCATCCTCTCAGAGAAATAGTGGTTATTGTTGATGGTGATGCAGTGTTTTGTTACAGCAGTGTTTTGTCTCTCAGAACATAGTGCATCTCTTCCCCCTCTTCTTCACGGGTGGAGGGCAGAGCACGGCACGGATGGCCTCGTCAAATACTGTCTTCAGCCCTCGCTGGGTCAACGCGGAGCACTCCAAGTACTTCACAGCACCTGGGGACCCAGGACATGATACCATGGCAGAGACTCAAGAAAAAGCTCAGACCTCAACTTTAAAGAATCTGAATTAATCTGTTTGTTAAAATCACTTCGGACAGCAGCCCTGAAAACTACCTGCAGTACTGTGAAGTATGACTCTCAGCTACTACCACACCTTGAGCACACCCAGCTGACTGAATTGAGTTCAGCTTCAAAGGTTTATCACTTTTAGATACATCTATTTCCTGAAAGTTTCATTAAAATCGGTCCAGTAGCCTGTGAGCTGTCTCAACAATACACAGGGTTGTCTTTAAAGGGATCCACGATTAGTTGTAACGTTAGACTTTATTTGATAAACATATATTTTAACTGTAAAATAAAGACTGTAAAAATACTGAAGGCTGTTTAGTTTTGTAAATTTTTAAAAATATATTTTAACACGGACGGAGCCATTTTATTTCCACACAAAGCATTCTGGGTAAATGATGACGTGGATAGGTCCTCGGTGCGAGGCTGCTAGCGAGCTATATCCACCCTGAAGGTTAATCTTGGACAATATCTGATGATCGACTCTTTTAAATGAAACCAGAGAGCGTTGACAGAGAGGAGAAGGTAGAAATGACTCAGCCTGGAACTGAAAAYATGGATGGAGGACAACAGAGCTGCTTCATGGAAGAACAACCTCAGATTAGCTTGTTAGCGTTAGCCCCGATGCTATATCATACATATGTATTAGCTCAGCGCTACACATTCTCCTCTCATCACTGAGGTCCTCCATCCACATGACAGAGAGGAGAACACAAAAATGACTCAGCTGTAACTGAAAATATGGATGGAGGACCTCAGTTTAACTTGTTTGTCGCGCTAGTGCTGAGCTAATACATATAAGGCAAAATAGCGTCAGCGCTAAAGCTAACAGGCTAATCTGAGGTTGTTCTTCCATGAAGCAGCTCTGTTGTCCTCCATCCATATTTTCAGTTCCAGGCTGAGTCATTTCTACCTTCTCCTCTCTGTCAACGCTCTCTGGTTTCATTTAAAAGAGTCGATCATCAGATATTGTCCAAGATTAACCTTCAGGGTGGATATAGCTCGCTAGCAGCCTCGCACCGAGGACCTATCCACGTCATCATTTACCCAGAATGCTTTGTGTGCAAATAAAATGGCCCCGTCTGTGTTAAAATATATTATTAAACTTTTAGTTTAAAAATTATAAAACCTGAACAGCCTACAATATTTTTGCAGTCTTTATTTTACAGTTAAAATATATGTTTATCAAATAAAGTCTAATGTTACAACTAATCCTGGATCCCTTTAAGGTTGTGTTCACACCTGATGGTCCAGTAGACTCGGTTCAGTTCAGGACCTAAATTTAAAGATTTGTTTACATTTTCAGTTGGTGTGATTCACATTCATGCTGCACTTTGCCAAACTAACTAAACCCTGTGAACCTGCCGCCCCCACCCCCCCACATGTGGTGGTGCTGCACCAAGACCCACTGAAGGAATCAACACACAAACCTCTGAAGACACTGAGCACAACTTCCTTCTTCACAAAATGTAAACAAACATGGCGTGACGTGGACCACTCTTGAACAATGAGCTCAGCATGAGAAGATGAGGCAGCACCATGATGTTCAGACAGCTCCATACGTGGCAGTGTTCACCAGTGGGAGTGTGTCCAGCTTCACAGCAGTGATGCTCAAGGTTCTTCCTCATCTTCCTCTCATGCTGAGCTCATTCTTCAACACTGTTTGTTTGGCACATTTGCAAAAAACAAAAAATAAATCCTACAACCACTAAAATAAATGAAATAAAATGTGTGGCGGAGTGGCAACCGAAAGGTCGCCGGTTCGATCCCCAGTCCAGCCATTTCAGTTGTTGTGTTCTTGGGCAAGACACTTCACCCACCTTGCCCACTGATGGTGGTCAGAGGGTCCGGTGGCGCCGATGCATGGCAGCCCCACCTCTGTCAGTGTGCCCCAGGGCAGCTGTGGCTACAGTGTGTGAATGAATGATGCATGAATATTGTAAAGCCTCTTTGAGGGTCTTGAAAAGCCTTATATAGTATAGACTTTGTCAGAGCAGCATCCATTCTGAGGTTCACACACTAGTTACTTTACAAACTACAGACAGTACACACAAAACAAAAATTAACACTGAATAGCCACATACAACTACTAATAATATAAAATAAAGAACTGTGCAATAGAAAATGATATGTTTTGTTTTAGAGACAGTGGATTATCAGAATCTGACATTAGGAATCAGAAATCACCTCAACAAACCTATAACTGTAAAGTGAAGTATCACAATGCAAAGAAACACAGATGTGCAATTACAGCAGAGTTTTTTAATGTTTAAAATGGGTAATAACAGAGCAGCTGATTGGTCAGATTATTAATAATATAAGTGAGTAGTAGTGCAAATGATTGTTCAGTTGAGTAATTACAATGAACGGTAACAGTACAAATGATTGTGCAGCAGGTGTGTAAACACTTATTGTGATTTTTGGGCGTGGTGCTGGTTATATAAGACTAATGCATTATTATTATTATTATTATTA